CCACACACACACACACACACACACACACATACACACACACACACACACACAATCCTTTCAACTTTCAATTCACGTGAAGATATCCTAACCACTCACGTACACTGTGTACTCCCCACTAGGCAACTACTTCATTACAGACTCCTACTGACACTTTCCTTTACACAACCCCTTTTTTCTTGCCTACGCCATTTCATTCGCGTCAAAATATAACCCCATCCTCCCCCTTATCTCCCCATTTCATTCATGTCGAGATATCCCACCAACCATACGACCACTATGACTCTCCCCTCCAGACAACTACTTCATTGTGGACTCGTATTTGACACTTTACCGACCGTGCGCCATTTCATTCACGTCAAAATATACCCCCCCCCCCCCACGTTTCATCCGCGTCGAGATATCCCACCAACCATACGACCATTATGACTCTCCCCTCCAGACAACTACTTCATTGTGGACTTGTATTGACACTTTACCAACCGTGCGCCATTTCATTCACGTCAAAATACAACAATCCCATCCTACCCCTGTTTCACCCACGTCGAAATAACCCATCAACCACACTCACAAACTATGATCCTCCCCACCAGGCAACTACTTCATCATGGACTCGGAGCAGCTCGTCTCCAACCCGTTCCAGGAGCTGCAGCAGGAGGCGGCCCAGGAGGCGCAGAAGAAGAACTCCATGACCGAGCGGCTGACCAGCGTCAAGAACAACGTGTGCGAGAACCACTTCCAGATGGAGAAGTCGCGCCTGGAGCGACAGAAGACGTCCAAGCTCAAAAACCTGCACGACCACTCCAACAAGCTCAGGCACGAGGTCAGCTGAGTGAATTGTGTAAAATTAAAAAAAACAAAAAACAACCCATTATAATTGAAGACACGCTGTTTTGGAGAACTTTAAAGAGGGGCATAGCTTCGTTATTCATGCACATTTTTTAAAACATAATTTGTTTTCTCCTGTTTCTGGCTAGGAATCTGTTTCACAATACTGTGATCTCGCCCTCATTGACAACTGATCTCGCCTGAATTGACTATTGATCTCGCCCTCACTACTGATCTCGACCACACTGACTACTAATCTCATCCTCACTGTCAACTGATCTCACTTGCACTGAAAACTGATCTTAACCTCACTCACTACGGATCTCGATCTCGACCACACTGACTTACTGATCTCGCCCTCACTGACAACTGATCTCGCCCTCACTGACTACTGATCTCGTCCTAACTGACTACTGACTTCGCCCTCACTATTGATCTCGAACTAACAATAATTGATCACGACCACAATGACTACTAATTTCATCTTAACTACTGATCTCGCCTTCGCTACTGATCTCAACCACAATGGCTACTGATCTCAACCACTATGGCTACTGATCTCGTTCAAATTGACTACTGATCTTATCCTCACTGACTACTGATCTCGTTCAAATTGACTACCGATCTCGCCCTTACTACCTATCTCGACCACACTGACAACTGATCTCGTTCAAATAGACTACTGATCTCGCCCTAACTGACTACTGATCTCGTCCTAACTGACCAGGTGAAGCTCCTGGACCTGGACCGTCAGCGCCACCAGGTGGAGGTGAAGAAGCGGCTGGATCCGGAAAAAGACTTTACCTACGACGACGGTCAAATCGTCAACATAGAGAGGCGGCTTGGGGCTAACATCGCCTCCTTCTACCTAGACAAGAAACTAAAGTACCCAATGAGACTGCGGTGAGTGGATTTGGATGTACTCTCTATCTCACTTTATCTCTCTCCCACCTCTCTGTTCACAATATATGCCAGTCTGCTTGTCTCCTACCCCCACCCTCTCTCTCTTTATCTCGACATCCGGTCCCTCTCCTAAGAATTTATCCTGAAGATAAGGTAAGACAAGACAAGATAAGATCCTTTATTCGTCCAGTGCAGTGTTGGCGTCGGTAGCCTAGTGGTTAGGCTACCGGACCCGTAATCGTGAGAATGCGGGTTCGGGGATACGAGCCTTAGCTCTGTCCGACGTTGTGTCCTAGGGAAAGAACACGAATTTCCCCATTTGGCTTGGTCCTTTCGGGGATGGACGTAAAACTCGTAGGTCCCGCCTCTTAAACAGCCTATCAGTGTTGACATCGTTTCATAAACAACTTTAAGTCTCGCGTGCTTGTATGACTGTAATATATGTCGTAGTTTCGAGCGCCACTAAACTCTTACCAAACTAAACTGATGAACCCCATCTTGTCTCCCCCTACCCAGGTCGGTGAGCGACATCAGCGTGACGCCCACGGTGCGCAAGGCGCGGCAGAGTCTCCGCCTGCAGGACCTCAAGCGCTCCATGGACGACGCCAACGTCGCCGGGCGTGCGGAGCGCGTGCAGACGGCCAAGTCCTCCTCCACCGCCCTCACCGCGCACAGCGGACTCGCGCGGCGACGCGGATCACGCTCCGCACCGCTCTACGCCGCGCGCTCCGCCGCCGGGGTCCGGGCGCAGAGCGAGCGGGTGCACAACACCATGCTACCCGCCATAGCCGGGGCTGCACAGCCGGACAGCCACGAGGACGGAAAGCCCAAAACGGCGCCCCAGGTAGGAGAACGAAAGTGACAAATTAATTCTAATAAGCCTCATCACCACCACTGCCACAACAACGGGGATGAATGATATTTGCTTAATACATAAAAATCTCTTGTTTGTTTCAATGTTACAGAGCAAAAATGGCACTGAAAACATATTAGTTTATACATACCAAAGGAGTGTTCTTAAACTTTGGTTCTTTGGAGAGTTCAGAATGGTCTCCACCTACTGAGTGTGGTCCTTTCGGAAATGGAGGTTACATTCGGAAGCCGTACCTAAAAAACAACCGTACAATATTCATAGGTTGGTAGACCCGTACCAAACAGCACCTGACTCGGTCTCTCTATCTTATGTTTCCCCAGTCCCACCAGGTGAAGTTCGCCTTCGAGAACCCGCTCAAGATCCTGGCGTCCAGCGAGGAGAGCGCCAACCTGTTCGCGCGCGGCCACACCTACTACCCGGGCCTGACGCGCGCCGTCAACACGGGCCTCACAGACTCCTCAGACGAAGACGACGACCCCTATCCCTCGGAGGTCATTGACCTGCGGGCGCTGCTCTTCAAGGACGGCGAAACCGCCAACGCCATCCCCACCACCACCAACAGCATCAACCTTAGTGGCTTCAACATCGCCCAGATTCACCCGGCCGGCAGCCACCACCACCACCAGCACAACGACGACCTCGCGTCGCTGAGTCACGGCAGCGGGCCGGCCCCGGGGCTATCGCTGCACCACCTGGCGGCCTTGAGAAAGGCTCAGGGTCCGCCCCCGAAGCTGACAACAGACATGATGCAGGTGGAGAACGAGCAGATCAGTGCCAAAATCAACAAGTTCCTCGGGGACCTCGCCGTGCCCAGGCGGCTCCGACACGGATACGACTCTAGTGACGAGGAGGAGGATGACGCAAGGGCCATACAGAGGCCTGGGGATTTCTTCGCCAACGTTGCAGCAGGTGGAGGTGGTGGAAGTGGAGGAGGAGGAGGCGGCGGAGGAGTAAAATTTTTCGCTTCTACAGGAGTCAGGACCGACGACAATCCGCCAAATCCTTTCCTTTCATCCAACACCAAATCTACTTCCACTTCGGATCTCTTAGGGGTTAATAATCATAACAACAATGAAAATAAAAACGTCTTCGCTAAGAACAACAGTAACAACAACACAAACAACGCCTCTACCACCACAGCCGATCGCCCAACTGGGGTAGTAGCACGTATAAAAACGACATCCGGAGGAAGCGAAGGAGGAGATGAGAGAGGGGACGAGGACGAAGCTGGAAGCAAATCAGGCGAGAAGCCTCCGCACAAAAACAAGTACGGCTGGCAATACATCCGCGGGCGTCCGGCCGACGGTCAGTTACGGGGGACGTACAAGTCCGAGGACCTGGTGCTGCAGTCGCTGACCGGGGTCCCCATACGGAACGCGCTGGGCACGCATGTGCCTCTCAACTCGGCGTCCCGCGCCATGCGCCACACGGCCACCTTCAAGATGCACAAGATCGTGGAGCGCCTCATCCAGGAGCGCACCAAGTACGAGCGGCACCAGGTGGAGGAGCTCAAGCGGCAGATGGCTACAGACGAGCCAGGCACCCCGCACACTGCCACGGGCCCCGGCCCCGGCCCCGGTCCCGGCCTGGGACCCAGCCCCTCCCCCGCTCACCCGTCCCGTCGCGTCTCTCGTGTGTCCAACCTGACAGTCACCAGCAGGTGAGAGACCACGGACGGCGAAAAACCCCCAGCTTTAGTGAAATGTGCTGGGCGACAACAGTCATCACACTCAAAAACAAAGTCTCGCCAGTGACCACACACTTCCCTACAATCAAACATACTACTCACTCCCCCCAAAAAACAAAAACAAAAACCGATGTCTTTGAAAATTCGATGGAACCATATCTGTATACGCTCCAGATAATAAATGAATATTAACGATAATGCATTGTCGTTAATGAACTGAAACGACTGACTGCACTACACCCTCCCCCACCCGCCCCACCCTCCCGGTAAACATAACCCCAGTCGAAATCCAGCTTTCAATATTGCTGATGGAAACAGGCACGAAGCCAGTACACAACTGCTTTGCAACAGAAGAGCTTCTGACTCGTTAAGATTGAGAGATCAGTGACTCTTACTACGTGGATCTTTATTCAGACTCTTCGTTAAAAGGCGTTATCTATTTTTTCTGGCACCCCCTCCCCTCACACACACACACACACACACACACACACACACACACACACACACACACACACACACACACACACACACACAACACAACAAGCTTCACAGACGTGCAACATTACGACCCCAACCAAGTATATAATTCGCTGATGACGCCATTTTATTGCAGGACAAATTATTTCTACACTGACTAACGCCAATGGATTATGCAGATGACATAAACAGACACTGGCAAGGCGGGGGTGCTTGGAATACAAATGACATAATGTCTGGGTGTGTTCATTGCAAAATTCAAGTGCTCTGAGCTAGCACATGCGGAAAGACGGAGAGGCGAAGCTCACATCCAGAGATGTAGCTGTGTGAAAGGTCCTGATTTTAAACTCTCGCAGTTGGATTCGAGTGGGGAGATTTTACGACCGGATGGCTCGGTCTCGGAGATTGTTATCAAAAGAGGAATCCTCGGGTCTCAAATAAGTTCGCTATGATGAAAAAAAAAAGTTCCGCACCATTCCGTGCAGAAACAATAAGGACGGTCACCTCATATTTATTATTCAACACGGCTGACAATGGATGCGACGACCAAATGGCGGTGTGAATCGGAACAGCGCAAAAGACCCAAACATGGGAAGAAAATGCGCTGTAAAAGGCATAGAGAAAACAAAGGAGACAGATGTAAAAGTAAAAGGGAAATAATAAAGAAGTAGGATAAGCAGTCATATCCACAGAAAAAAGGAAAATTATTCTAGCGAATTTCGTTTTGCTCATGGGTTATTTTCATTTAAAAAAAAAAGGAAAGTGGTTGTGGGGGAAGTTTGCTTGCTCGCTCGTTGGTTGATTTGAGCTTGTTTTGATTTTCAGTCAAGAAAGGAGAGCTGGGGTGGGGGGAGTGTTTGGGGGGGGGGGGGTGTTTGCATGCATTGATGTTCGTAGCTTTCATATGGGCCAAATACATCTACCTGTAAGACCATATGTAAAAATCTAAATCTCAGTCTCAAAGAGAGAAGAAGGAGACAGAAACTGCCCCTGCTATTGCATCATTACATTTCCAACAGAAAAGCGTAATAAATGTTATTCTCCACAATTCTGGACTTTAACGTTTGCAATCACATTTACAACCAGTGTTCATTCTCAGATAACTTTGCTAAGAAACGTTGTTAACATACAATAGTTGCCCTCCTCTATTTTCCTTCTAAATTATGTCTTCCCTCCTTTGTTTCCAAGTCTTAGTGTTGACAGTACAAATAAGCGTATGTCATACCCATGCATATCAAGTAAAGATGTAAAGGTGCCTATCCTGCTCTTCGATGACGACTGAGCCAAAGCTATCCTTGGAGGAGTATTTTCACGAGTGGAAATTGAGCTTTCAAACGCTAAAAATGTTCTCATTGGCGTACAAGAAGCCACAAGTCGTCTTTATCATTATTTCTTCTGTTTCGTTTTTGTTAGTAAGAAATATTGTCCTCTGCAGATGCATTTCATGCAAGTCCATTGTCAACATAGACGCATGAACTACCATTTTATGTATTATTACCGTAAGTTATTTTGTGCACACTAAACCAGCCAAGGAGGCGTTTTTGCTGAACAGGATATATCTGTGATATAAACATGCCATGTACGAGAATATTATTTTTGTATTAAAAAGTACATATAACTTCATATGAACGATCAAGTAGGTTTTTTTTTTGTTGTTGTAAAATTATGCGTCATATGGGAGAGAGAGAGAGAGAGAGAGAGAGAGAGAGAGAGAGAGAGAGAGAGAGAGAGGGAGAGAGATAGATAAACAGAAAAGAAGGGGGAGGGGGACATGGACAGAAAGATAGATAGATAGATAGAAACATAATTTGCAGTGAAGAGAGAGAGAGAGGGGGAGAGAGAGGGGGGGAGAGGGGAGGGGGGAAGTCATGTTCGAATTCCACGGGTGAACATCTATGGGTAGTTCACTTTCGTCTGACAGCGGTTACAAGAAGGTTAAATAAAACGGCTCTCTTAATCTTTCCAGATCTTTGAAAAGAGCTACAGGTCTAAAAGTCGGATGACCAACCGAATTAAAAACCCTATTCATAGGAGTCACCACAAACAAAGGCTGCGATACGTTTTTTTCTTGCTTCCAAGGGTCGAAATAATTCATGAGCGTCATTCTATCACTACAAGTTGTACCTCCAGCTGGCGGGCAATGTGACAGTATCGCTCCC